GGTCAAGAGCAAATGGGAGGAAATTATCTATTTTAACATATTCATAAAAACAAACGTATTAGTTCTCAAATTTAATAATAAGGAAAGGAATGATTAGTAAATGAATTATTTTTGGAGAAAATTAGCAATAAGTCTAATTTAAAAAGTGTTTGAGGTGTTTGGTCTATCGGATAATATTTTTTAGTGAAAAGTATACGTCTTGCAAAATAGTATGGTGAGAATTTTTTATTGTTTTAGAGAACATTTTCATTCCAATTTTTTCCTTTAATGTTAATTTTTTTTTGACCTATCTGTTCAAATTGTTCAAAAAATTTGTCTTGCTGAAATTTCTATCTATTAAAATTGTCTATTCAAAAAATCTATTTGTTAAAATTGTCTATTCAAAAAATTTATTTGTCAAAATTATCTATTCAAAAATATATCGATTGAAATTATCTATTGGAATTCTATCTATTGAAATTCACAAAACTTATTTTTTCTTACATGTTGAAATTTATCAAGTATATTTCCCATATTTGAACCTATCTGTTTAGTTTTTTGAACAGATCTGAGCCTTGAACATATTTGAGCTCAAATCTATAAAAAGAAAAAAAGAAAAAAAAGGAAGAAGATCTGAAGCGGAATGCTAGGGTTTTGGAAGTGCCAATGTGAGAGATGAAAAAGAGCTTGGGTTTGAGATTGAGAGAGAAGAAAGAGAGATATTGGGGTTTTGGGAGGTTAGTTGTTTGAGGCGGCGGAATTTGTAGAAGTAGTAAAAGGTGGTGACGGAGAGCAGGGCAATGAGAGTGAGATAAGCGGCGACGGACGATGAGGAGGAGGAAGAAGAGGACAATGTCAAGGGTCTTGTCTTCTTCGATACAAATACGGCCCAAGTTGAGGGCGGCGACACTAAAGAAGGCGAAGAAGAGAGATCGGCAAAAGAGAGACCTCACCATCATTGCGCCAGCCACGTGGTCATGGCTTCGAAACACACCGCTTTTAGACCAGAGTTAGGAACAACGGGGATTTGCAATGGACCGGCAAGAGAGTTGTACAATTAGGTGGAATCAGAGATCTGCACAAAGGTCTATAAAAAGAATACCAGCCAATTCAATAGATCAGGTAGGGGAGAGAGAGAGAGAGAGATAGGCTTGAATTCAATAGATAAAACGTGTGAATCCAAATAAGGGGTAGATTACACTTTGCACCCTTATACTTTGGACAAAATCTCACTTTGATCCCTACATATGAAATCGTGATAGTCAACCCCTACACTTTTGGTCCATACACATAAAATCGTGACGGTCAACCCCCTATACTTCTCGTCAAGTAACATATATGTAACAAATATGTGACTATGAAATGAAGGCGAGAGAGGAAAATCATTCTCATTTTCCATCAATATATACTTTGTCCCACGTGATAAGCATTTGAGAGTTATACAATACAATATGTGTATGTGTGTGCGTGTGTGTGTTCATATGCTGAAAATTATGATGAAGAGATAAAAAAAATATAACCAAAAAAAAAAAAAAAAACATAACAGAGAAATCGAAGTCTCAGTTACTGTGAAAACAAAGTTTTATTATTCCAATTTTTACAAAATCTTAATTTATCTCATTAATTGTTCACAATTTACATTTTATTTTAGCTGAATACAATCAAATTTTGATGTAAATTTTACGATGAAATGTATATAGATAGGAAATTTAAGTGATTTTCCTCTTTTGCTCTCATTTATAGCCATATACTTGGCATATTACTGACTTCTATTAAAGACTTATATGATGAAATAATAAAAGGGAAACATTAACATTTGGCTAGAAGTACAGGGAGTTAATTGTTACGATTTCACAAGTATAAGTACTTAACTATCACGATTTTATGTATAAGGACCAAAATGTGATTTGATTAGTACCGTAAAGAGTTGACTGTCACGATTTCATGCGTAGGAATCAAAATGAAATTTGGTGTGAAGTGTAATTTATTCCCAAATAAATAAAAGGCACGTGACAGTAAGTAATTTGGTCATTGTACAAAAATATGTCCTTATGGACTTAATAGTTCAGTAAGTGGATTTTTGGGCAAAAGAAATTTAAATTTGGGCAAAAAAATTTGGTTCTAACCACCAGAATACCTCAGCCATTAAAACTTAATTTAAGTGTCCTCTTCCCTTCCTATGATGTACAAAATATAATATATATGATGTACAAAATATATAATATATATATATATATATATATATGGTCTCGTTTGAAAAGTGACTATTTTAGTAAGTTATTTGACTTTTTGATTATTTTAGTTAACTATTTTAATTTTTATGTTTGGAAAGATGAGATGAATTTTATTTGAATTGTTATATTAAAAAATGTGTTGAAATGATGTTTGAAGTTAAAATAACAAATTTGTCCTTAAAAATATATATTTTTAAATTAATGTAAAGAGATAAAATCGTAATTTTACCCATTGATGTAACAAGTTGTCTAGCTGAACTGCACTATATATATATATATATTTTTTTTTTTTGATGAAAAATGTTGAATAGTGGAACTCACGTGAACGCGGGAGGTTCTATTTACACACACCAGATCCTCTTTTCTCACACACTTAATGAGAGAATATGTTGGAGAGTTGTGTGTGGAAGATGTGTATAGAGAGAGGTGTGTGTGTGTAAATAGATGCAACCGGAAACTTTTTGACTTATTTTGCAAATAAGGTCAAGTTTGGCATCTTCTAAAAAATCCAAAAAGTCATTATCCTATTTAAGTCACATCACCTCTCTAACACATCACTTTAAACCCAACTCAAATCTAACCCATATTTCATAAAAAGTCAAAAAGTACACTTATTTAGTCTTTCCAAACTTGACCTAAGACTATAGTAGCCTCAATCCTTGCTTTCCAAACAGCGCCTATATATACATGCGGGAGTAAAAAATCCAACAATGAGTCATAACTTTAAACTTGCAACTGTAATAATTATTCTAATAATATAGCAAGAAATAAAAAATATATATATATATATATATATCATATCAAAACATTGATGAGTAAAGCTTTCGAAACATTTTTTGTAAAAAAATCACAGAAGCTCAAATGGAAGTATGAAACGTGGGCCAATCTCGGAACTCCTTCGTAAAAGCCCAAAGAATCGCACAAGCCGACATAAAAAAACACAGATCAAAAAACAGAAGATCATCTCGACTAACGCCTCATTTGGAAATAGATTAATTTAATAATTTTTTAGTTATTTAATTAAAATATAAACTAAAAAAATTAATATATTTAGAATAATTTTTTAATATTTTATAAAAAAATATATAAAAAAAAAACTTTTAACTTTTTAATATAAATTATTAATTTTTTAATTAATTTAATAATTTTTTAACTTTTTAATTAAAATGAAAAGTTGTCAAAAGAGACCTAAACAAACAAGTCGGCTAAAGAATACCACCAAAGATCCTCTAGAGTGAAATTTTTTTAAAGTTTCATAGAGTACTACATTGTGTGGTTGAGATTTACTGGTAAGTCACATCAGAAAAATTGATGTGACTTGCCAATAAATCTCAACTACACAATGTAACACTCTAAGAAATTTTAAGAAAAAATCACTCTAGAAGATCCTTGCTCAAAGAATACCATCATAGCCAACCAAGTTGAAAAGAATAACACCCGGTAGAGCAGAGCCATTTGACATCTTACAACACCAAATGGACGACCTGATGTCACTTAAGCCAACAAAAAAGAAGGGACAAGGGACATCTACATCTACAAGATTATAAATACAGAAAGCTAATAAATACAGAAAGCTAATAGTATATCATGTACTTAACAACACTTCATAAGTCCTATACATCTCCAAGTACAGATTTGACTGTCAGATTACTTTCCTGATGTTACTAAACAAACAAAGAAGAGACATCTACATCTACAAGATTATAAATACAGAAAGCTAGTAGTATATCATGTACTTAACAACACTTCATAAATCCTATACATCTCAAGTACAGATTTGACAGTCAGATTACTTTCTCGACCAATGATACAGAACTTTAATTTTAGAGTGTTAAAAAAATTTTAATAATGTCACAAAAATAAAAAATAAAAAATAAAAAAATAAATACACACACAACATATTATATGTGAATCTTTGCTCTTTATCATATTACTAAAACTCTTTTAAAATTCCAAAATTATAAGACTCAATCTTTATTCCTCGGCCAATACCGGGTCGACAAGCTCTATTGTGGAGCCGAAAGAAGCACCCATCTTGCTCGAGGCAAATCTGCACTTCACAATTCTCAATCTTTTTTATTTTTATTTTTATTTTTATTTTTTTTGACATCTAAACATCAGATTTGCACCTTACAATTATTGAACAAAATTAATTTTCTAAAAATGTGAACCAAGAATATCCCTTTCTATTAAAAGGAAAAAAACGTCCCACACAAAGAATATACAATTTTATGGGATGTTTGGCAATTGGCTAAAAATAATTATAAAAAAAAAATCAAAAAATTAATATAAAGAGTCAATCAATTTTCTTTACCTTTTTTTTTTTGTAAAAATTTAAAAAATCATCGAAATAATAATTCTCAATCGAACCCTTTTTAAGGATTTTGTTATAAATTCACTTTCATGGGAGATATGCCCACGTTAATAAGAAAAATGTTGATTGATCTTATTAATAAAAATCAACACTTAAAAAATAGGAGAGCAAAATGTTAATTGAAGAAAAAATTTACTGTATATACATTTACAACTAATAATCAAATACATCATATATTTGAACTTGTTGAATTTAAACTCAAATAAAACTAAGTTCAAAAAAACATAAAAATCAAATCAAAATTATGACCTGGTTTGATAACTATTTTAATAATTATTTTGATCCTTTACAAAAATATATACAAACTTTTGGATTTATCAACTAAATATTTAATTGCCAAATATAAGAAACAAAAATATCTCAATCAACATCACCAATTTATAGTCGTCGTCGTCCTCATCAAATCAAACTAATCAAGAAGAACCCTTCTTCCACGTCAGCAAATTCCGGCCACAGCGGCCTTCGGCGATCCTGGTCTTGACGTTCTCGAAGTCCGAAATCCGACAAGGAATCGTAATCCCACCCGAGTGATCAAACCCGAACTCCTCCTCGGCCTCCCTCAACAGATCTCCAAACAACGGGTGGTTGAAATACACCACCGGCACCAAAACCCGGCGAAAATCGCCGCCGTCTTTCTGACCCACATACACCGCCATCTGACCCTTCGGCACCTCCACCAAACGGTGATTCCTATCCATTGGAACGTAACCCCGACCCAAAATCCGACCCGGATTGGCAGAACAGAGGGACTTGGCCTTTGTTTTGAGGGAATTGAAGAGAGCGGAGATGGGTTTGGGGTTTGGGTCTGGTGGGAAGAAAGAGAGTCTACGGTACCCGGAAGAGGAGCGGTTCCGGTGGAGGAAGAATCGGAAAAGGGTTGTGACCCTGTGTTTAAGCTTGAAGCCTCTGATCTTTCTCATGGTTGATGATGATGATGAGAGAGAGAGAGAGAGAGAGAGAGATTTGGTCTGTGGGTAGTTTGGAATCTAGGGAAAAGGCCAAGAATCAGCGATGGACATGGTTAAGTGAAAGAGAGATAGAGAAACGTGAGAGAGAGAGGTGAGGATGTTTGACATTTTTTGTGGTGGGGGTAGAAATTGAGAGCTTCATTCAGAGAGCGTTTCTTGTTGTTTTTTTCTTTACTGCGAATCTAAACGGTTTTTGTCATCAATTTTCCTCTGTGGATTATGGAAATCCCCAAACGTTTCTGTAAAACAATAAACGAACGAAAAGAAATCGGAAGAGGAGGTTTGTGAAATGTAAGAGGAAGGTGTATCCAACGAAGTAGACAGTGAAGGTGAGGACGACTTTGAAAGGTTCGGTACACAGACACTATCCAACAAAATGGATTATATATAACGGCTTTTAATTAATGGTTAAAATAATTAATAAAATAAAATATTATATTTTATTTATAGTTTTTTTAATTTTTTTTTATAATTGTCTTAACCAAGTAATTAGAAAGTGAAATAGCCAATTAAAATGGTAAACTTCCCAAACCATGGCCTCGTTTGAGAACTCTCTTTTTTAATTAAAAAATTATTAAATTAGTCAAAAAGTTAACAATTTATATCAAAATATTAAAAATTTAATTTTATCTCTATTTTTTGTACATTTTTTCGTAAAAAATCAAAAAGTCATCCCAAACGTACTAGTTTTTTTTAGTTCATATTTTAGTCAAATAACCAAAAAATTACTAAATTACCTGTTCCCAAACGAGGCCTAAGGGCTGGTTTAGTATGTTTGAAAAAAAATTAAAAAGTCAAAAAGTTTAGGCTAAGTTTGGTATACACAAAATAATTTATCTTTTTATCTTTTTTCTATCTCATTACGTCTTTATTTTTCTGTATATTTTTTCGTAAAAAGAAAAAAAATGTATTTATTTAGATCATCCTAAACAATCCTTAAGTCAAATCATCTTATTTAAGTCACACCACCCCTCCAATACATTATTTCAAATCCAATCTAAATTCAATTTATATTTTATAAAAAATTAAAAAATACATTTATTTACATCCTCTCAAACAATCTCTAAAGAGAGGTGAATTGCACGGAAACGTAGTCAGGTTGTACGTGCACCAGAGCCGTTGGATTCATTCCCCTACCAAAGGCGGAATTTTTACATGCGGATAAGCCTTGGTTTGGCATTTTTGCTAGGTTATACAATAATAAAAGATAAAAAATGGCTACAAAATCATAAAAGGATAAAAAAATTACAAAAGTATCCAACTATTTTATATACAAACAAAAAGTTAAAAAAAATATTATTTTATATTAAAGATAATTTTATCATTCTAAAGTTAAAAAAAATAAAAAGCTAAATAAGGGTTCGTTTGGGAAGTGGGTTGATATTTTGACTATTTTAGTCTTAGACTAAAAAGTCTAATTTGAAAAAGACTTTTGACTTTTTTGAATTTTTTATAAAAGGGTTCGTTTGGGAAGTGGGTTGATATTTTGACTATTTTAGTCTGAGACTAAAAAGTCTAATTTGAAAAAAACTTTTGACTTTTTTGAATTTTTTATGAAAAAAAAAAATATAATAATTATGGATTAGATGTAATATTTTGTCTTATTAAGTATTTTTTTTAATAAAAGGAAGTGTGCCACGTAGTATCTTAAGAGGGATGAATTGCACGGAAACCTAGTCAGGTTGTACGTGCACCAGAGCCGTTGGATTCTTTCCCCTACATTTTTCTGTAGGCTGCACGTTTTATGTTTAGATCGGCCAGTCAAAACCCTCTAGGCTCTTTTTTTTAAGGTAAATTATACTAAAGCCTCTTGAAGTTTGATCTAATTATATACGATAGTGCTATTTATATTAATTAGTATATTAAATAATGTATCAACATTAGTTATGATTTTATTATTGATTCTATTTATTATATAAATTATAAATATTAAAAATATTTTAAATTATATCACATCATCAATTAATATATTAATTAATACACTAATTAGTGCATATAGCATTATTTAATTATATACCATCTCTTAACATTTTAGAAATTATATTATCATTCCTATGATTACTAATCTCATTTCATAAACTCCACTCTTTATATAAAAAGTAACAACTCTTCGTAGAAAAATAAAAAAAATTACATTAAAAAAAAAAGAGTCAAACAAAGGAAAGGAAAAAAAAAAAACAAAGGATGTAAAACAAAAAAGAGAAGAAAAAAGAGAGAGTGCATGAGTTCAATATTTTCATTCCGTCTAAATAATTATAATGAGAAGGGGGTGGTGTAATTTCCCAAACCTCAAGCGGTGATATGTATTAAATTCAAATCTCAGGGGTATAAGTATAATTTACCATTTTGTTTTTTTTAAAGGGCAAATTACAAACACCCCCTCGTGGTTTGGTGAAAATATAGATTTTTCCCTGAGGTTTGAGAAATTACAAATTGCCCCCTAAGGGCCAAATTTTCATAACAAATTAGGGGAAATTAAGGAGGAATCTATATGAAAATAAAAACCTCAGGGGGCAATTTGTTATGGAAATATAAACCTCAGGGAGCGGGATGTAATTTCTCAAACCTCATGGGAAAATCTGCATTTTTACCAAACCTCGAGGGGGTGTTTGTAATTTGCCCTTTTTTAAAACTTAGGTCTCGTTTGGCGTATTGATTTTAGGGGTTGTTTGGAAACTTGGGTTGAGAGATTTTTTTAGCTAAAATAGCTAATAAGGCCTTACTTGAGTTGATTTATTTTAGATTATCTTTTTGTTTATTTATCTTATTTAAGTTACACCACTTTTTATTTGGATTATATCACTTCTCTACCATATTGCACTGCTTATCGTAAAAAATAAAAAAATATACTTATTTAGATTATTTCAAACAACTTTTAAAGATAAAATAAGTTCAAATAACCAATAAGATAAAATGTCATATTCATAATATAATTATTTTATTTTTTTCTCTCACAACCATCAAATCAACTAAAGAAAGAAGAAGAAGAAGAAGAAGAAGAAGAAAAAGAAAAAGAAGCCAATAATTATCCCAAACACAATTTTTTTTTTATCCAAGTTAAAATAGCTAAAAAATAAAAAAAACTAACTAAAATAGTCAAGTTCTCAAATGAGCGCTAAAAAATTCAAAAAGCTAACAAGTACTCAAAAGTTAAAAATTCATTTTCATTCGCTCTATTTATAGGCTTATTTTTTTTAATTTTATAATATTTTCAGTGACTAAATATGTTTGTATTAAATAATTTAAGAATTTAATAGATTCAATCGATAGTTTAGGAACTATTATATACTTTAGGGATTGAGTAAACTCAATCGATAGTTCAGAGACTAAATAAACAATTTAGCAATAGTTTAGAGGTAGAAAGTGTCCATTAAATTATTTGGGTATTATCTAACATTAATTTTAGATAGATTATTTCTTTTTAAATATTTTATCAATAAAAAAATTTTTTTTTTCATTAAATAGTTTAATAATATCTTAACAATTTAGAGATAAATATATATTTTTTAACATATGAATAAATAAGTAGGACAAATTTCTAGAAAAAAAAATCCATTTGTTTCAACTTAAAAACATAAAAGAAAAAAGGAATTTAAATAATAAATGCATTAATTAAAATTGATAAATTTTCCATTGTCTATATGTGAAATAAGTCTTATAATCATTATATTAATTATTAGGATTTTATATTAAATTATTAGGGTGTTATGTTAAAATATGTTTGGATTTTTAATAATATATATGCAAAACCTTAGGGAAGATGAGTAAAATTTTTTGTTTAAATAGTTTATTGATTGATTTGATAGTTTTCATCTCTTCCTACTCAATTCAAATGGGTAATATGGCTTGGTTTGGGAAGTAGGTTGGCTTTTTGGCTTTTTGATTTTTTGGCTAGTTTAGCCTGGGCTAAAAAGCTTGGTTTGGGAAGGGCTTTTTGGCTTTTTGATTTTTTTGACTTTTTTTGTGAGAGAATAATGTAATGATTATAGGTTGGATGTGATGTTTTGTTTGTTATGGCTAAAATAACCTATTTTGTTTTTTGTGATTAAAATAGCCAAAAAAGCTTGAAAACCAACTTGCCAAACATAGGCTTATTTTGGATAACCAAGTAACATCGTTTGTGCTAAATTAACAGGTTGAGAGAACCTTGATATTGTCAGCAAAAGTAGGGAATGTTTTTGTAAAGGTTCAAATATTTGTCAGAAACCTCGAGAGAGGTAAGTGTAATTTATCTTAATTTTTTTATCTCATATTTTAACCAAAAAGTCACTAAATAAGCCTACTCTCAAACAAGGCCTTAGAGGCTATTTGGGATTTTTTGAATAAATCACTTATTTTTTTGATTTTTAGTATAAAAAAAAATTAAAATTATATCAAATTTTTTATTTTTTCAGCCCAAAAATCAAAATAAAATTGAAAAAATAAAAATAAATTTAAGACGTTTATTATTTTTGAACCTTTTTTTTTGAATTTTTTTTTTGAATTTAATTTTTCGAGTTGTCTCCTCAAATAGAATTTAAAAACTTTTAAAGTTTTTCCAAATTTTAAAAAAAAAAAGGTTTATTAAAATGAAAATAATCTAACAAAAAAAAAAGCAAACCAAAGAGGGGAAAAGGTGTAAAATAATTGCAAAAAAAAAAAAAAAAAAAAAAAAATCTAATTTGGTCTTTCAAAAAGGTCTCTTGAGATGAGTACATATGTCATGTCATACTCAAAACATATATATAGATATATATCTTTTGAAAATGTTGTGTATAATGCAAATTTGAAAATATAACAATTTAGTAACTTCAATATAGTTCAAGGGGTGGTAAATACAACTCAGGTAATCTTTGGATTGGTGTCTGTAAGTAGGTGACATATTAAGCACTACTAATCGTCACTTTATCGGTTGCTAACTGGAAGGCACGTGGTACTTCCTCCACGTGTGTTTTCAGTCTTTCACTATAAAC